ATAAAGCTGCCACCTGTGGTGCCGGCATCCCACATGGGCGCCGGTTTGAGTCTCGGCTGCTCCATTTCCGATCCAGCTCTCTGCTACAGCCTGGGAAAGCAGTAAAAGATGGCCCAAGTCCTTGGGCCCCTGTACCCACATGGGAGACCCAGAAGTCCCTAGTTCCTGGCTTCAGATCGGCGCAGCCCCGGCCGTTGTGGCCATCTGGGGAGTGAACCAGTGAATGAATGAAGGACCTGTCTCTCTCTGTCTCTCCTTTTCTCTCTAGGTAACTCTGACTTTCAAATAAATAAATAAATAAATCTTTTAAAAAAATCATCGTATTAAGAAGTGCATGTTGGAGCCGGCGTTGTGGTGTAGCAGGTAAAGCAGCCATCTGCAGTGCCGGCATCCCATATGAGAGCCAGTTCGAGTCCCGGCTGCTCCTCTTCCGATCCAGCTCTTTACTATGGCCTGGGAAAGCAGTAGAAGACAGCCCAAGTACCTGGGCTCCTGCACCCAGGTGGGAGACCCAGAAGAAGCTCCTGGCTCCTGGCTTCAGATCGGCACAGATCCAGCAGTTGTGGCCATCTTGGGGGTGAACCAATGGATGGAAGACCTCTCTCTCTCTCTAAGATTGTGTGTGTTACTCTTTCAAATAAATAAATAAATCTTCCAAAAAAAAAAAAAAAAGAAAAGAAATTCATGTTTGCTAAAAGTTGCCTAAGTACCAAAACAGTAAAATCTGTTCCTCAAGAACAGGCCTTTGTTGTTTTGAAATGCCTACCTGACAGTTCAGAATATTCCCCTGTCACATCTGAACATAGATGCAGTTGATTTAATGACCAAAAAAAGAGTTCATGGCTCCACTTTGGCCAGGATCACAATTTAGATGTGGTCCTCTGATACGCTGTGTGCAAAGGGATTCCCTTCACAACAACTACATGCCATTACGTTATCTACACTAAAACTCAATAACCAACAATATTTTTTTTTAAAGATTTTCTTCATTTATTTGAGAGGTCGAGTTACATACAGTGAGAAGCAGAGAGAGGTCTTCCATCCGCTGGTTCACTCCCCAAATGGCTACAACAGCCGGAGCTGAGTCGATCCGAAGCCAGGAGCCAGGAGCTTCTTTTGGGTCTCCCACCTGGGTGCAGGGGCCCAGGTACTTGGGCCATCTTCTACTGCTTTCCCAGGCCACAGCAGAGAGCTGGATCGGAAGAGGAGCAGCCGGGACTCGAACCAGCGCCCATATGGGATGTTGGCACTGCAGACAGAAGATTAACCTACTGCACCACGGTGCCGGCCCCAATAACCAACAACATCCTTAAATGGAAAGACAGGGTTTCTTGCAAAATAAAATAAGTGACTGCCTAATCTACAAATACGTAGTACGTTTTGCAATACAGATTTGTAACGACGTTTACAAATGCGTAAACACTGCTTGGCCAGTACCATATGAAGTTTATTAGAGATTTTAAGAAAGAATTTCTGAGGAACTCAAATGCCTTTACTAGTTTACTTTAAAATACATGGCACAGGTACAGCAGGTAAAGCCGCTTCCTGCAGTGCCACCATCCCATATGGGCGCCGGTCCAAGACCCAGCTGCTCAACTTACCATCCAGTTCCCTGCTACGGCCTAGGAGAGGAGTACAAGATGGCCCAAGTGCTTGGATCCCTGCACCCATGTGGGAGACCTGGAAGAAGCTCCAGGCTCCCAGCTTCGGATCGCCCAGCTCCAGCCACTGCAGCCATTTGGTGAGTGATCCAGCGGATAGAAGACCTCACTCTCACTCTCTCTGCCTCTCTGGAACTCTGCCTTTCAAATAAATAAATACATCTTTTTAAAAAATGGGGGGGTGGGGGGGATACATGGTACAATAGGAGACAAAATCTGGCAAATTAATGGAGTTAGTACAGGAAAGTAAAATACACAGTTACAATATTAGAGAACAATCGAGTGGCCACCATACTAAAATGTCTTCTAGGACAAAAGAACCCAACCCAAGCAGTTAATTTAACTGTTAAATTAAAAGTTTGTCTCTCACTGCATGCAAGAATTGGCAATGGCACTGCTTTTCAGCAACATAAAAATATCCTAGGGGGTCAGCATTGTGGCAAAGTGGATTAAGCAGCCACTTTTAAAGCCAGCATCCCATATCAGAGTGCAGGTTCAACTTCTAGATACTCCCCTTCCAATCCAGTTCCTGCTACTGTGCCTGAGAAGGCAATGGAAGATGGTTTAAGTTTTTGGGTCCCTGCCACCCATGTGGAAGACCCAGATGAAGTTACTGGCTCCTGGCTTCAGCCTGGCCTGACCTGGCTGTTGCAGCCATTTAGAGAGTGAACCAGTGGATGGAAAATCTCTATCTATCTTTCAAATAAATAAAGTTTTTAAAATCCTGAGAAATACTTCAAAATACAAGAAGTCACAGAGCTTTCATCCTAAGTTTTTGCAAACACAAACCAACTAGATATAAAAAAGGAAGTTAAAAAGCCAAGAATCAGGGCCGCTGCTGTGGCGTAGCGGGTAAAGCCGACACCTACAGTGCCAGCATCCCCTGTGGGCGCCAATTTGAATCCTAGCTGCTCCACTTCCAATCCAGCTTTTTGCTATCGCGTGGGAAAGCAGATGCTCCAAGTCCTTGGGCCCCTGCACCCACATGGGAGACTCGCAGGAAGCTCCTGGCTCCAGCCACTGCAGCCACCTGGGGAGTGAACCAGCGGATGGAGGGTGTCTCCCTGTGCCTCCTCCTCTCTGCCTTTCAAACAAATAAATAAATCTTTAAAAAAAAAATAGTAAAGAATCCTCACTGTATTATTTTATTTTATTTTTTTAAGATTTATTTGAAACACAGAGTTAGAGAGGCAGAGAGAGATCTTCCATCTGCTGGTTTACTCCCCAGATGGCTGCAATGGTCGGAACTGGGCCGATCCAAAGCCAAGAGTCAGGAGCTCCTTCATGGTCACCAACGCAGATTCAGGCGCCAGATTCAAGCACTTGGGCCATCTTCTGCTGCAGACAGCTGATCAGAACTGAAGTAGCCAGGACTCGAACCAGTACCTATATGGGATGGCAGCACTGCAGGAGGCGGTTTTACTCCCTACACCACAGTGATGGCCTCATCCTCACTGTATTGTATACTGTGACCAACACCTCTTAGTTCTCCCATTATCTACTACCAAAAAAAAGGATTCTATTAAATGTCTACTTATAATCCCATAGTTAACTATGGCAAATAAAATACAAGCAGGTAACTTATTGTTTAAATTTTTTATTTCTATACTTTACACTGAAGCACACAATTCTAATTTTCAAAAAGATCTTCCTCCTGGCTGGCGCCGCGGCTCACTAGGCTAATCCTCTGCCTGTGGTGCCAGCACCCCAGGTTCTAGTCCCTGTGGGGGTGCCAGTTCTGTACCGGTTGCTTCTCTTCCAGTCCAGCTCTCTCCTGTGGCCTGGGAAGGCAGTGGAGGATGGCCCAAGTGCTTGGGCCCTGCACCCCATGGGAGACCAGGAGGAAGCACCTGGCTCCTGGCTTTGGATCGGTGCAGCGCGCCGGCTGTAGTGGCCATGTGGCCATTTGGGTGGTGACCCAACACAGAAAGAAGACCTTTCTCTCTGTCTCTCTCACTAACTCTGCCTGTCTTAAAAAAAGAAAAAATCTTCCTCCCGAAGGAGTGATGTTCCAGGATTATTTGGCACAATCCTGATACAGAGCCCAACTGTCCTGTGAAGACTGTCAGATGCTAAAATAAAAAAGGTCAGAGTAGCCCAAGCTGTTCAGTTATACAAGTTTTCAACAGATTTGTTGAGGGGTGAGCTGAGGGCAAGGAACACTGTTTTCTGTGACTGATCTCACAGGCACAGTCATTCTAGAGAAGCTCATACTCCTGGCTCCAGTGACTCACAGCATCTCAACCTTTTGGTCCAAGCAAAGGAAAAGAGGAAATGAAGTCAAACAATGGGGGAATTGCAGGATTTCCCTGTGCACATGCCCAGTTTGATGAAGTCATTCAATGTGCTTGAGTTTCTAAGGCCCCACAGATTCCCACACCCTGGCCAGTGTTATAGTTATAGCTTAGTTCAATACTTGAAAACTTTACAATTTCACCAAGTGAACTTCTAAACTGTGAACTCCTGGTAAGCAAAGATCATGTCTTGCAACGTTTCTTGGAAAAAAAAAAAAAAAAACTAATAAATAAACCACTAACTTCTATTTCTGATCCTTCCTGCCCAAAGTCACTAAAAACTGTAATAAGTAAAAGTTTAAACCAAGACGCACGGGGCAGCGGCATGCCAGATCTGAGACACCACATGTCCTACTGCGGGCAGGGGGAAGGCAGTGTGTACAGCACAACCATTCCCAGCCTTCACACTTCCATTTAGACAGGAGCACGGGGTCTGGAGGCGGCTAAGCCCACCTGTGTCACCCCGGCTGGGGGACGTAGGTCAGGTCACTTAATCGGAGTCGCGGCGCTGCCTCCATTTACCTGTGGGAATACTCAACTCCGGAGGTTTGGGAAGGGGCCGAGGGCCAGAGGGCTTCGTCAGCTGGACAGCCTCACGTGGTGTCCACGTCTTTCAACCGCTCTCCGCCTTGCCGGGTGTACAGCGCCATCAACCCAGCTCGGGAACGATGCGCGGCCACAGGCCGCAACACCCGGTTCCTCGGAACCACCTTAAAGGGCATGACACAGACAGGCCTTCGGCAAAGACCCTGCAAGGCGGTCCCGGCAGCTCTCACGGGGCGGTCAGCACACCCGGGGACCCAGGGCCCTGCGCTTAGCAGGTGACAGGGAAAGCGCCCGCCCCGACTAGCAGGCTGCCCGCGCCTCCGCGGCCTCTGCACCGAGGTCCCGTCGGCGATCCAGGCGCGCTTCCCACCGCCCTGAGTCACCACACAGCACAGCGGAGCGCCGGCGAGGCCGCCAGCCGGGCTCCACTCTCGGACCCGAGGCCGGTCTGGGGCCCAGGAGCCCCGCCCCGCAGCGCCGATCCACCAGCCGCGAGCCCAGGGTCACCTCGCCGAGCGCACTCGTGACGCCGGGATGGGGGGGCGCCGGGGACACCCCAAGGAGCCGCTCAGGCCTCGCCCCCTGGCCCGGCCGAAACGGCTGGCGAGCGGCGCCGGGGCTTCTCCCTCACGGACACCCACCACGCCGGCCCCTGCCTTCCGGCCGGGTCCCTCCATCGCCCCCTCCCCGCTTCCGGCCGCCCCCGGCTCCCGAGCGCCCCGGACGAGTCCCTGACAGCCCGGGCAACTGGGGTGAGGCCCAGGAGGGCACGGGCCACTCACCGGCCGCCAGCTCCTTCGCCAATGAACCGCCCAGCGACTCCCTCAAGCGCCGCCGCCGCCGCCGCCGCCGCAGCCAAGCGAGCCGGAGGGCGCGCGCGGGGGCGGGGCGACGTGGACACGCAGCGCGGGGCGGGGCCTGCAGCGGACACGCCCCCGGCGGGAGGAGAGAAGCACGTGGCTCCTCCTGGTCCGTGCAGCAAGCTGGTGTTGACCAGGGCGAGGGGGCAGTGAGAACGCTCCTGGGCTGCGCGCTTATCTCGCCAGTGTCGCTTAAGCCCCGTGTCCACTGACACCTCCCTTTCGGTCACTGGCCAGGCTCAACCCGCTAGCCAGTCCTGTGTGGGCCGCACTGCAGACCTTCTTCCGTTTCCACCCCGTCTGCCTCGGTGCTAGTCTTGGGCCTGATCTCTTTTTCGGCCTTGCTTCATTCTCCAGACAACAGCACGGCCAGGAGAATCTTTTAAAAGCCCCGATGGGATGGTGGGCCTCTAACACCCTCCCACGGTTCCTAGAACTCCCCACCCCTACCTTGCTGGTGGGCCTCTAACAGCCTCCCACGGGTCCTAGCACTCCCCACCCCTACCTTGCTCTGCCATACTCGAACCACCAGGCTAGACGGACCACGTCACCACCTCTTCCGGGGCATCTCCAACCGGGCTGCACCTGCCCTCGTAACCAGGTACAAGGCGCCACAAAAGGTGCAGACCTCAGTTCTGGCCAAAGTTCTGCCATGAACCTGCTTCACCCTCGCCCATCCTAGCCAGCGGGTGTTCTACCGGCAGCTCTAACAGAGCACCGTGATGTACACGTTGTGCTTCGAGGCTAACTCATTGGCTTTCCCCTCCACCCATGCCCTGAGAATGCTCTGCTCCTTATCCCGACCTCTCTTACGGGCAGCCAGAGCAGAGCAGCCCAGTCGAGATGGAGTTAATCACTCCCCTTGCAGGCCTCTTCAAGGCCTGAGCCTCAATCCTGCAACAAGTTCTGGCTGACAGGTTTCAGGCCTTATCACAGCTACCCCAAAGATTTGCTTTCCTCCAGCATTTTCTGCAAAGCCAGCCCCCATCTTTGGAGCCTCAACAAAAACCCCAAGCTGTCATTAACAAGGACGGTAGTTCTTGAGACGGTAGTCTGCTACCTCCTCTTTTGGCTGGATTAAACTTTCTCTTTCCTTTATCCTCAAACCCGGCCCTCCTGATTCTGACCTGGCAGCAGGGACAGGGACCAAGCTTTTGGGGACACTCTCCCTGTTCCGGGCAGCCTGGCTTCCAGTCATTGCCTTAACCGTGCAGCTGACGGCAGCTTTGAAGACTGCTGGTGAGGAGACCTCCTGCTCTCACACACACACACGATTACTGTTAGGGACACACTGGGTTTGCCTCCCGAAAAAGAGAACATTTAACTACAGGCCTATCAGAGGCAGGGCCGGCCTGTGGCACAGCGCGGGTTGGAGTCCCGGCTGCTCGGCTCCCATCTCCTGTGCATGGGAAGGCAGCAGAGGAGGGCCCAAGTCCAGGGGGGAGCGCTGGAAGGAATTCCCGGCTCTTGGCTTCGTATCAGCCCACACCATTACAGTCATTTGGGGAATGAACTCGTGGATGGACGATCTCTCTCTCCCTCTCTCTAACTCTGCCTTTCAAATAAATAAATCTTAAAAAAGAAAAGTAGCTGGTTAACATCAGGTGACTTTTTTGGAGTATGTGTTGAAGTAAAAGAAACTACAATTATTCCAATTGAAACTGGCCTGTGGCCGGCGCCGTGGCTCACTAGGCTAATCCTCTGCCTTGTGGCGCCAGCACACCCGGTTCTAGTCCAGGTCGGGGCGCCAGATTCTGTCCCGGTTGCCCCTCTTCCAGGCCAGCTCTCTGCTGTGGCCAGGGAGTGCAGTGGAGGATGGCCCAAGTGCTTGGGCCCTGCACCCCATGGGAGACCAGGATAAGGATCAGCGTGGTGCGCCGGCCGCAGCGCGCCGGCTGCGGCGGCCATTGGAGGGTGAACCAACGGCAAAGGAAGACCTTTCTCATGATATCACACATTCACTGATGAAGGACAATGATGCTTGAGAGATAGGAAACAACTGATAAGATACCAATGATAATGGCCCCACTTCACTTTGCCGAGAGCTTTGAGGCTAAAGCATATGAAAGGGGTACCCAGGTGGGCCTTCCTGAGCTGAGGAAACAGAGCTAAAAGCTGGGTAAACCAAAAC